GAATTTTCCAGGCAAGAGTACTAGAGTGGGTTGCCATTTCCTTCTCCAGGAGATCTTCCTGACCCAGGGATCAAACCCGGGTCTGCCGCATTGCAGGCAGATGTTTTACCGTCTGAGTACAAGATAATTTTTTTTTATTAAAAGCATCTTGATTTTTTTAAAATCTTTTTTATTCAAAAAAAAAAAAAAGGATAGCCACTCTGTTTCAGTTAGTTCAAAGTTCTTGTGGAGTATGATTAATAATTTTCAGAGTTTTTGCAGCTATGTTTGCAGTCTGTTTGGCTCATCTTGTGTCACTGGCTGTCTCCCTGATCCCTGACATTGCTGCCTGAAAGTGCAGAAGGAATTTCATCAGCCAAGTCTCTGTCTTTTGGTGGAGTAGGAGGATAGCAATATTCCCTGTATATCTTCTTCACCGTCAAGATGTGTTTGCAGAGGACAGGAGAGTGTCAGGTACATGAGAACAGAGTCTTCCTTAATTTGGAAATGATTCCCTTTAAATAACTAGAGGTATGGCTTACCACTGAATAAAAAATATTTATGTAAAAAGAAGAGGACATTTAAAACATCAGTGTTCCAAACCTCTTTAAAAAGCAAATAGTAAAGGAAATTTTTAATATAAATACTTTTAAGTATAATGTAAGGAGAATAAAGGAAAAATGAAGACACAGGAACAATTAATTCAATATAAAATGGATAAACTATAAAGAAAATCAGTAATTCCTCAAGCTGGTAGTTTGAACAGATCTGTCAAAATGACGAATTCTAGAGTTTGATCAAGAATATAGGTGAGAGACTACAAATTACAAGTGTGAAGAATGAAAGAATAAACATTTTTTAAGATCCCACAAGCTCTAAACATAATGGATAACATGAAAGACGTTAGTCAATAATTCCACAACACAGTTGAAATGGAAAAATTTCCTTTAAACACACCAATTACCAAAACCAACTCCAGTAAATCTGAGTCAGTCAGTTCAGCTGCTCAGTTGTGTCTGAATCTTTGCAAACCCATGGACTGCAGCAAGCCAGGCTTTCCTGTCCATTGCGAACTCCCAAAACTTGCTCAAACTCATGTCCATAGAGTCAGTGATGCCATTCAACCATCTCATCCTCTGTTGTCCCCTTCTGCTACTGCCTTCAATCTTTCCCAGCACCAGGGGCTTTCCAATGAGCCAGTTCTTTGCATCAGGTAGCCAAAAGTATTGGAGTTTCAGTTTCAGCATCAGTTCTTCCAATGAATATTCAGGGTTGATTTCCTTTAGGATTGACTGGTGTGATCTCCTTGAAGTCCAAAGGACTCTCAAGAGTCTTCTCCAACACCACAGTTCAAAAGCACCAATTCTTTGATGCTCACCTTTCTTTATAGTCCAACTCTCACATACATACATCAGTTCAGTTCAGTTGCTCAGTCATGTCCGACTCTTTGCATCCCCATGGACTGCAGCATGCCAGCCTTCCCTGTCCATCACCAACTCTTGAAGCCTACTCAAACTCAAAGTCCATTGAGTTGGTGATGTCATCCAACCATCTAATCCTCTGTTGTCCCCTTCTCCTCCTGCCTTCAATCTTTCCCAGCATCAGGGTCTTTTCAAAAGAGTCAGCACTTCACATCAGGTGGCCAAATTATTGGAGTTTCAGCTTCAACATCAGTCCTTCCAGTGAACATCCAGGACTGCTCTTCTTTAGAATGGACTGGTTGGATCTCCTTGCAGTCCAAGGGACTCTCAAGAGTCTTCTCCAACACCACAGTTCAAAAGCATCAATTCTTTGGCACTCAGCTTTCTTTACATTCCAACTCTCACATCCATACATGACAACTGGAAAGACCAAACCTTTGACTAGATGGACCTTTGTTGTTAAAATAATGTCTCTGTTTTTTAATATGCTGTCTAGGTTGGTCATAACTTTTCTTCCAAGGAGCAAATGTCTTTTAATTTCATGGCTGCAGTCACAATCTGCAGTGATTTTGGAGTCCAAGAAAATTAAGTCTGTCAGTGTTTCCATTGTTTCTCCATCTATTTGCTATGGAGTGATGGGACCAGATGTCATGATCTTAGTTTTTTGAATGTCAAGTTTTCAGCCAGCTTTTTCACTCTCCTCTTTCACTTTTATCAAGAGGTTCCTTAATTCCTCTTTGTTTTCTGCCATAGGAGTGATGTCATCTGCATTTCTGAAGTTATTGATATTTTCCTGGCAATCTTGATTCCAGCTTGTGCTTCATCCAGCCCAGCGTTTCTCATGATGTACTCTGTATACAAGTTAAATAAGCAGCATGACAATAAACAGCCTTGATATACTTCTTTTCCAATTTGGAACCAGTCTGCTGATGTTTAGTTCTAACTGTTGCTTCTTGGCCTGCATTCAGATTTGAGTAGCACTTTATCTAATAAAGAAAATGAATGCATAGTTAAAAACAAATTTCCCCTAAATAAACTCTAGGCATAGATATCTTCAGTGGTAAATTTTATTAAATATTTACACAGCATATTTATGGGTACCTTAAGAAAATTACTTGCTTGTTTTGCTTTAAGAAAATTACAGAGACTGGGAACTTGACTTCAAATATTTTTCTCTAAACGCACTAGTAAGCAAGAGATATTTTTAACTTATGAGTATTTTATTTAATACATGAAAAACACAAAAACTATCTTTATGAAGAATCATTTATATTTATCTATCTATATCTAGGAGAAGCAGATAAAAACACACTAATAATGGATGACTTTCCTCAGAACAAGACAGATAAAGTATAAATAATAAGTAAAGCCTAAAAAATATAATCAATTAGATAAAGCTTATAATATAGTGATCTTCGCATCCCATAATATAAAGTGAATCTTCTTTTCCAACACCCACAGAACAAACACCATAATTGATCATATACTTAATATTATGTTACACAGAATTAGCATCTTTTGTAGAGTAGAAATACAAGCAAGAATATTTCTTTACCTCATGCAGCAAAACTCATAATTACTGGGGAAAGGAAAGAATACAAAATCCCTTTTAAAACAAAATCAAGCAGTAGGGAAAACAATGAGTTCTTTACAACCTAGAAAATAAAAAATCTTCTATTTAGGAAAACTTGGGGGGTAAAAGATGAAATATGAATGAAATTATAGATTTTTAAATAACTAAAGAAAATGATCCATAATAGTCTTTGAGAAATATTTAAAGCAGTGTTTAAAGAAAAATTCATAGCACCAAACACCTTTATCACTAAAAATAAAAGAAAAATCAATATTTCAGTCAGAACACTTCATAAAGGAGAAATAAAGAAACCAGAAAAGGAAAAAATAGATCAAAAAACAGAAAGTAATGAGAATAAGAAGTGATTTAAATAACCAGCCAAAATGCTGTCATTGGAAAGAATTAACAGAATTATAAACTACTTGCTAACTTGAAGAAAAAAGAGAGGAATCACATACAAAATAAATAGAAAAAGAAAAATGAACATTAAAATGGAAGAAATTTGAAACATCATATGAAACTATTTTTCAGAACTTTATAAATCTGAAAACAAAGGTGAAATGGATAATTTCCTAGCAAAATACAAATTACCAAAATGGACACTGTTAATTTTAGAGATCAAAAACATACCAATTTCCTTGGAAGGAAAAGAGGATATTATTAACAAGATAGCCTACATAAAAGCCTAGTCCCAGATGAAGTCTCAGCATTCTATCAAATTTTCAAGCACAAGAAAATCCTAATACTGTAAGAATTGTTAAAGAGCACTGAAAATGAACAACTTCCTAATTTCTTGTATGAAAAATGTGTAGCATTGAGTCTGTGATAGGTAACTTGCCCCTTTGATTCCTACCTTTTGATGTAAATATTTTTGTGTGATCCTCTCCCTGTGAGTATGAGACCTGTGACTTATTTGTAGACAGTAAAATATGGCAAATATATATTATTATGTGTGATTATGTGATTATGTTACACAAGACTGTATTACCTCTCTTGCTGGAGTCGCTCTTCCTCCTTGCTGTCTTTGAGTAAACAAGCATCCCATGTTTGGGAATTTATTTGGGAAGGGAATATGGGCAGTCTTTTCTGGCCACGAATAGCTTCTAGAAGACATCCTGCAAGGGACTCTGATCAACAGCCAGCAAGAAAATAAGTCTTTCATTTCTACAGCTAAAAGCAACTGCCAACAACAATGTGAACTTGGAAGTGGATCCTACCCCAGCTAAGCCAGCATCTTTAATTAGGACATTATGAGATGTTGAAGCTTTTCAGCCCATATCTAAAATAGTGTTTTTATTTTAATATTATAGTCCACTATGCCTGCCAAATATTTTTACAATCTATTGCTAGCTTGAGATGCAATTCATTATTAACTTATTCTTAATGTTATATCTCTCATACCTTTAAAATGGTTAGAAGTGATATTTGGCTTTGTGTTAAGAGTTTTCTGACATAACTTACCTTATTCCCTCAGAAGCAGAGGAAGAAACTGAAGTCTACAGAAAGTAAGTTACTTTCCTAAGACAACTTATATTTGAACTGATAAAGAAACTAACCTAAGAATAATAAGAGAAAAATAGCTCCCCAAGAAAGTAATTGTTGGTTTTCTTAAAAACTGAAACACAAACACTATCAGAAATACTGAAAATCAAATAACTGACATAGTGACCAGAGTTTCTGTTTAGATTGAACAAGTTTATTAGGTCAACAGAGAAACAAGCTCCAGAGTGAATGTCAAGGCAATTTCTTGACACCATCATCCTAATGAAAGCAGAAGTCTGAGGGTGCATGTGAATTTCACTATCTCCCACTTAATGGAGTAAATTCAGGGAATTTGTAGGTTACATGGTCAAGCAACAACAGACCGTACTAGATTTCCATGATACAACATAATCATCATCCAGGGAAAGACACAGAATATATAGGGTTCAGAACTGGTGAATCTTGATGTCCAGGTGCAGAAGGGGAGACTCTTCCACGGTGTCCTCAATAGTAGTAGCTAAAGCCAGAGCCATAGCCAGAGTCACACCCATAGCCACAGCCAAGGCCTCCATAACTACAGCTTCCGTAACCATGGCCCCCATAGTAGTTTTCATAGTAGCCACACATGATATTAGTGTTGAGGCTTTCCGTGGACAGAGAAGGAGCATAGATGACTTCAGTCCAGACAACTTCCCTGTAGATGGCCTCTTCTATATACTTAGTGTGGATGGGAACCACTACACAAGTCATAATGCTATTGGCTAATTTGCAGGACCAGTTTGAGTAATTTGCTGATTCCTGGCTTTTAGTCATGGCCTCAGCGGGCTTGAGGATCTTTGCTAATGTTTAGTCACACCTGAATCATTTGTGAGCCATTAGTAAGAAACAACTGTCACATATTCAAAACTCTATTCATATAAGATCTTCAAATTATCCATTTCAAACCAATATTTATGGCAAGAAATAGCATTTTGAGTAAATATTCTAACCTTTCCCAGACAATCAATGATTATATACTCTTTTGATGGCATTCAATACATCATGATAATCTACCTTAACCTTGAGCTTTTCTATCTGCTGCTCCAAAAATTTTTTTTTTCCTTTAGAAATTCTCCTTATTTTCATGTAAGAGATGGCTTACTATGAAAAAGCCAAAAGGTATCACTCAGCTTCATGTGACAATTGACAAAAACCCAATACTGCAGTTATGGTAGTTTGAAATTCCGGGTCACCAGGTCTGAGAAAACTGGACTTCTCTTTCTCCCTTACATTAATATTTCTTCTTATGACTCTATACTTTAAATTCTATATTTTAAATTTTTTCCATAGTTTTAAAGTCATATCGTGAATCTACCACCAGAAAACAAAAAATTACGTGATTTCACTTACAAAGTTGCATTTTCATGAAAGGGTTTTCTTCAAATTTCAACATATTTGTAATATTTGTGTTCTGATTCAAAGGTGAATATTCTTTTATTTAAAACAATGATACTGGCAGAGATACCTTTCATGATGCTAGAACTCCTAGTCTTAGGAGTTCTTGGTAAACTTGCTTAGACTATGAGAAACATTATGACATATATATTTTTGTATGCAATGAATAATCTGAGCTGAGTAATTAAGTAAAGTTCAGTTCAGTTCAGTCACTCAGTCATGTCCAACTCTTTGTGACCCCGTGGATTAAGTAAAAAAGCCCTCTAAACTTGTGTTCTTAGAAAGATGACTTCACAGATGTCAGCAGAGCCTAATAGATAAAACTAAGACTTTTGGAATCAGCTCTCCAGATTGAAATATTATTTCCATCACTTATAGCTGGGTGACCTGGAGGAGGAAATGGCAACCCACTCCAGTATTCTTGCCTAGAAAACGCCATGGACAGAGGAACCTGGCAGGCTACATTCTATGGGTCTGCAAAGACCCACAACTAACACTTACAGTTGAGTGACCACTGTAACTGTGTGCCTCTGTTTTCCATTTGCAAATGGGATAGTAAGTAATACCTACCCCCCACAGCAATTTTGAGAATCGACTTAGCTGATATGTATCAAGCATTCAGAACAGTGTCTGGCACATTGTAGGCACTAGGCTAACACTGGCTACTACTTGTTTCATCTGATAATGGTGTTCATAGAAATGTTGAGTTGATAAAGAGAACTCAACTATAGTTAAGTCCTCCTTTTGTGTCATTGAAGCTGAAGGGAAGGGAAACCATGTATTAAGACTATGCATCTGAAAGTGGAAATCACACTATGAATGAGCAAGTCCCATGAGTTACTCAACAAACATATCACAGGCAAGTAGAGAATGCAGCAGTTGGTACCTACCTACGTGGATCTGAGTGCAGACTCACTGATTTCCCTGGCACAACAAAAGACCTTTCTGGCTGTAGATCTACAAAGATGTAACACTAAATGGTAGGTAACTGACTGATCAGAAGAGTTTTTGGTTATGGCCATGCAAAGTGGCAATTTCCACTCTACCATCCACAGATATTAGCATGCGACAGATTAAGACACTCCTTTTCAATTAATAACGTACCATTACACATTGAAGTCCACCTCAGAAGGCACAGAAGGAATGGCAAAACCTTTAACAAAATTGAGTTTAATCCTAACAACTAGAATGTCATTAAATTTCATTGAGTTTACTTGGAAGAACCAAGAATAAATGTTTTGACATCCAGTATAAATAGCAGGCTTACCCGATGGTTCAGCAGGTAAAGAATTGCTTGTAATGCAGGAAACACAGGAGATGCAAACTCAGTCCCTGGTTCAGGAAGATTCCCTGGAGGAGGAAATGACAACATGCTCCAGTATTTTTGCCTGGAAAATCCTATGAACAGAGGAGCCTGGCAAGCTATAGTACAAAGGGTCACAAAGCATCAGACACAACTGAGTGTGAGCACAGATAATGGATAAACATCAAGTCAAAATAGAATTTGGTAAAATATGAGAAATGAAACATATTTGTGCACTTGCAAAGCTGTATTCTGCAAAAAATGTTATCTGAATTATGCATTTAAAATAAAATGTATATTTTTCTACAAAGAAATACTGTGCAATATCACACACCTCATACTTGAAGTAAATAAAGTGACTCAGCACTTCTGGGCTTACCGGGCGGCTCAGCTGGTAAAGAAACCACCTGCAATGTGGAACACCTGGGTTCAGTCCCTAGGTTGGGAAGATCCCCTGGAGAAGGGAAAGGCTACCCACTCCAGTATTCTGGCCTGGAGAATTCCATGGACTGTATAGTCCATGATGTTGCAAACAGTAGGACGTGGCTGAGCAACTTTCACTTTGACTTTAGCATTTTTATTTCTTCAAAACTAAAGAAAATGACTTCCTCTACTGCAGTGGGTAGGTGAACTTGAAGGTACTAATAACCTCAGAACAATTTAAATCAATTCCAGTTTGCATAGTTTCTGTGATTTCATAGAATTTCATGACAAAATTTAAATTTGAGCCCTTAAGGAGAAAGGGCTTTCAAATCAAGTTAAATATTTGTCATTCAAAGCACATGATTTGATTGTGCATATCTTGTTGACACAACAGCAGTGTAAACTTGCCTGTGAAGGCTTCACTATGCCTAATGAAATAAAGGCTTTACGAGAACTTCTTGTTGGTATTGTTTGTGATTAAGGCGGAATAATCTGTCTTGAAGACAGTGTTACCTGTGACTTGCCACACCTACTACTGAGGAAATGTAGAAGATGATGTGAAGATGGTGATGTTAAAACTCAGGAAACGATCTACCTCTTCTACACTGGCACCGTCTATTCCTGCCACCATGATCTACTATGGCAACTACTATGAGGCTGTGAATATGACAGGCTTAGCTGTGACTATCAAGGATATGGTGACTATGGATATGACTGCTGTTGCCCATGTTACTATGGAAGATATTGGTCACAAAGGCTCTACTGAAAAACTCTAGATCCACCGAACCTCCCTTATTTTCCCTCTTGTGAAATATGGATTCTGCTGTTGGGCTTACTCATCTCATCCTGTCTCTTCAAAATAGCAACAATCTAAATCAAAATCTAAACTGTCATGAAAATAATTCAGATCTCATCTTTCCCTGGTTCCATCATGCAAGATCATAAGGATTTTTTTTCTTAAATGCAATGAAAAGTTTCCTTTTGTTCTCTAAGTATTTCTTTAAATAAATTTAATCTCTTTTCAAACATGATACACTTTCACATCATTGCATATGGATGACTGTAACATAAAAACTTGTATTTACTATCCCAAGAGATTGACTGACCCAAAGCTTACCTCCATCCTTTATTTCCTAGTTTTTGTCCCTGTACATATTTCTCATGTTTAAAGCTGAATTTCCATGTGACATAGTTAATTGCTTTCTCATCAATAAATTCAACTTCCTTTTAACTCACAAACAAAATGGCTCAAAACACACATGAAGTCTGGTAGCTGCATGGGGTTGTCTGTCCCTGTTTCCCTAGAACACAAAGGAACACAACCACGTTTTAAGTGGTGCTTCTGTGAGTTTCCCAGGTGTCTGTTTTCTATTTGCTGGTATACTCTCAGTTGCTTGATGTCATTCATATAGAATTTGTGTCAAGCTTGAAATTGAATATATAAAGTCCTGAGGCAGCCCTAAGAACCTGGATGTCCTTCTAATAAATCTCTTTATCATAAAGCTTCAATACTTTGGCCACCTGATGTGAAGAACTGAATCACTGGAAAAGACTGTGATGCTGGGAAAGATTGAGGGCAGGAGGCAAAAGGGGTGACAGAGGATGAGATGGTTGGATGACATCATTGACTCAATGGACACGAGTTTGAGCAAACTTCTTGAGATAGTGAAGGACAAACAGGGAAGCCCGGCATGCTGCAGTCCATGGGGTCACATAGAGCCAGACATGGCTGAGCGACTGAGCAAGTTTATCATAGAACATTTTGATTATAAAGTCCATTTCACGTGTTCAGCCATTCATTCATTCATTCAATACTCAGCTCCTAAGGTATGCCAAACATGCTACTGTGTTGGGAGAGAGCATTTTGTAAAAGATTACTTTGTAAAAATAATTTTTGTAAAATTTTTTGTAAAATATTTTTATTGTGACCACTAAATTTTATTTGGGTATAACATTTATAAAATCCTGACATCCATGTAATATTAAAGTGTGAATGTAGAATATTCTAATTCATTTTAAAGTTTTTGCTAAATGAACAGTTTTAATGGGTTTTGACCCCATTTGTAAAAAGAAAACTTCTCAATTAATTTGTAAAAACACACGGCTGAAATTAAAGAGGGTATTAAATTATTAGTCAAATTTAAAAATCAAATTGCATAACTAGATAGTGGAATTAAAATTTATTAAAAAGTAAAAATGATTTGGTTGGTGTAACTTATTTTCCAACTTTTAAAATAAATTGAATTTGATAATAAATTTCAAATCTATGTTTTCACAAAATTTTAAACAAAAATTTCCTAATGTCCTATACCACGATCTATCATAATATAAATTATTTTTCTTATAAACAAGTCTGTATGTTTTGTACTTAATGAGTATTTGTTGGTTATTAATGCATATAAAAGTTTGGAGATAAATTGTTATATTCAAATTTGAGATTCAACCTCAAAATATTGGCTGGTATGGT